ATTTATTCTGAGACTTTTCTCCGCAGTCCATCCCCCAATAAACTTATCCCGAGACTCTCCTCCGCAGCTTTGAGGCGAACGTTTGTCTCTGTGAGGGCTCCTATAGAGACCCGTTGCCCTGAGACCCCGCCTTGGGCTACTGCGGCCTCGGGGTGAAAATATTTCCTCAAGGCTTTGCAGCCATGGCGGACGACGTGTCAGGAGGTTTCCTGCAAGTCCTTCATCGTCCAGTCCATTCTGGTATCACGCAGATTAGGGAATCATTATCCACTAGGACATTGCTGAAAAATGCCAGCTTTTACTGCTGAAAAACAGGTAACGTAAATGAATGAATTAAAAAGCCTCATTTGAAATAATTCAGATGCTGGCCGATACATCTTGGAGCGGGTATGCTGGGCACAAGAAGAGAAATCTTCTGTGTGTGTTTTGATGGAGAGGAAAGACCTGTGTCAGAGTTATAGCGTGGAGAAGGCCACAAAGATGGCAGCTGGTCGCAAGCAAAAAATATTCATTTGAGAAAAATAGGATCCATGTGCCTTCTCCTGATCTATTTGCAGTAGCTGCACTTTGATGTAGAGCTGTTTGACTTCAGTGGCTTCCGCCTGTTATTAATTAGGTTGGATTTTCACCTCACACTATGTCACCCTTTGGGACTGTTTCTGATCTGGCATTGTTGAGCATATGTGCTGCAGATGGCAGATACCCATTTTATCCCTGCAGTAAAACATAGATCTATTTTGCTTTTTTTCACTAAACTGCATTCGTAGGTCTGCTACTTTTTCACATTTCTGTAACTGAGATCTTGAGAAGAGCAAAATTGTTGTTCATCTTTCCATCAGCTCATGTAATGAAGGAACAAATCCTTTTGTTAGTGGTTTCTTGAGATCCAGTGGTCCTATCTAACAGCATTATCATCATGTTCAGCTTTTCTGAAGACACCTTCAGGTGTCTAAATAGCTTTTATGGCCACCTGACCATACTGTGGCAGAAGGGAGGATTCAATCAAGCTTCTGTACCTTCAGCTCTGTGAAACCTGTGGCTTGTCATGGGTGCTACCACTCCACTCACTGTATTTGTTCGTTTAAAATCTCTTTGAAATTAGTATGGTTAACAGCATATGTATTTGTCAGTTTGTGGATCTCTCTATGTACAATAAAAGATGTTTGAATGAGATTTTGATACTATCTAGAAGCTGCTGAGTGGTGGAGCCCACAATTTGCTCGTAAGTGGCACATTTCCCCCCTAGACCAGGCGTGATGGTAACCCACCAGAGCTCAGTGGCTTCTATTCAGTGTGAGATATCAGGGCAGCAAAATGCAGCAACTCAGAGACGAACAAGATGGATTTAAATATCTCAGTAGAGGACAAAGTTTGAAACATTATCAAATGCAGAACTACAAAAACAAACAAACAAACAAAAATCAGGAGTTGGTGCTAACCTCCAAGATAAAAGTCTTGGCTGGGGAAGAAAAAAAAGATGCACAGGAAGTGTGGGGGTTGGAAGAGAAGAAAATGCTCTTGTTGGGGATGGGTGACCGTTAAGAGCGGCATAGTTACAGGGAGCTGGTCTGAAGCATAGAGAGGACTTATGATCTGCAGGATCTTGGAGGGGCCCAGGGAACACTCTGCGAAGGTGAGGAAACCGAGGCATGGAAATGCACATGGAGTATGTTATTACTTTGTTAGCGTCTATGTAGTTCTTATGCTGTCAAAGCAGAGTACATCACCTCGGGTTGATCTGTAATGTTTGTGTTACGTGCTGCTTTCTTGTGTTCTCCTGAAAATTAGCTCGTCTGAGGGAGCTGTTTCTGGGGCTGGAGCTCTGAAAAATGGTTGCTTGAGCTACACGGGGAGGCTACAGCAGTGCTGCTCCAGCGGGCTCTGCTCAGGTGGGCTCTGGTCCCGTTGCTGCAACGGGAAGCTGCTCTGACATCAGCACTTGTGAAGTGGCTGGTTGTTCAAAGAGAGCATCCTTATGGATAGATTCCAAACTTTTGCTCCTTCGTTGGGATTGATGTAAGTGTGTGGGCAAATAGATGGGGCTGATGCATGGTGCTGTGAACAGCAAGACCTTTTTGAACTGGTGGTTGGAGCTTAAAAGTTATTTTAGGTGTGAACAGGGGAAAAATTGAACTTTAAGTAATTTCAAATAATATATAAGTTCTTTCAAATACAAGCAAAACTACTCTAGCGGTTAA